CCTGACGACGTCTTGGGGGAGGCTGGCTCCCTAGGCGCCTTATTGTGAATTTATTGTGTTTATTTTTTATAGTTATTGGCTTATTTTACTGTAAATAAGCGCATTGTACAGTCTGAAATAAATTTGAAGATATTTAACATAAGTAAAATTTATTATTTGAAAGTGAACATGAATTAAATTAAATTTATGCAACAAGGGCGATTCTAGGGGGCCATTGTTATTAGCCATACCCTTTTTAGCATAAAATTTTTAATAAAAGGCACACGGATTGTAAGAATTTTAATATCTGGACTGCCATGGGGGTCATGGCCTCCTCCCGGGAGCCGCCTTTGATATGAAATTAAAAAAATATTATGTGGCAGTCGAATTATTAAACTATCTCGTTTGTTTTTTTAACAATATATAATATATGTATTTTGATTATTTATTATCCACTGTGCATAAGATAAGTAGTGTTTCTTTAAACTGTTCTCCCCAGAATTCTGGGGTTTCGTGATCTCTCAAGGGTTTGCGAATTTTACGTTTTTTTTTTTTTTTTTTTTTCATAGCATTCAAGAAAGTACTTAGCTTAAAATATCAAACATTAATGATGAAATTAAAAAATAGAATAACAAACCCTTGTTTGATCCACTTAGCTACTAAGCTGGATATAAATATTATTTGACATAATAGTATTTTGGTTGCAAATATTTCAGAGAAATTTACATAGTCATATTGAAACAGAGAGGGTCCAACTTATTAAACATATTAAAGAAACGGTGCATTAGAGCACCAAATTTATTGCTATTTAAAAACAACCAAATTTATCATTAGCAAATAGTGGATACAAACAACTTTCATTTGTAAACATTATACTTTAAATAATACATAATGAAATATTTTCATGTACTATTAATATATTAATGGAGTGTTAATACATTAATACAAATATTTTTGCTTCTCAAGAAAATAAGATCACATGTAAATATTTGTAGAGAATGACTTTTGGTAATAAATTACTAATAACGATTTTTCTACACACTATTCATATATTTTGACTTCCTTCACCATAGATATAATACAAAACATTAAATCAAAAAGAACTCAAGATATATATGAAATTAATACCTATTTATTAAAAAACTGCGCCCAAAATATTGTTGTTCCTATTACTGAATTGATAAACTGTTGTTTAGCTGAAGGTACCTTTCGAGATATTTTTAAAATATCCAAAGTTCTACCATGCCACAAAAATAGGAGATAACCGAGTACCTGAAAATTTTCGCCAAATACATATTTTACCATGTTTTTCTAAAATACTTGAAAGTGTTATATAGTAAAACAAATTGTGCATTTCTTTGAAAACAACAACCTGTTTTCTGCGGAACAATATGGTTTTAGACATGGGAGAACAACTACAGATGCCATGCTGGCTTTAATGAATAACATTCAGGAGTCTTTAGAAACAAATCACAATGCGTAGCTATATTCACTGATCTGTCTAAAGCATTTGACTGTGTAAGTCACACATTGTTAATTAACAAACTAGATAAATATGGCATTAGAGGCATTGCAAATAAGATGATTGCTTCTTATTTGCAAAACAGACAACAAAGTGTATATTACAGAAATATATTTAGTAAACCTTTATTAATGAAAAGAGGTGTTCCACAAGGATCCGTATTAGGCCCTCTATTATTTTTAATATATACCAATGATCTTCTATCATATATGAATTCAAATAATGCCGTATTACTAACTACCATGTATGCAGATTAGACTGGACCAAAAAAATAAAATTAAAACGGAACTATGAAAATATTGTTCATGACGACAAAAAAAAATTCCTGAAATGAGCCCTTAATAATAATATTAAGAGGTGCATCATTGCAGTTATTGATTTTTCAACAGTTGTCGCGTTTTTGCATAAATTTCGGACTTGGTCAATTTTAAAAAAAATTTCATCTCTTATCCTTGTAGGAAATTAAATTCCCCACAAAAAAGCTCTCTTAGTAAATTTTCGTAAGACGAGTCTATTCTTTGTAATCGAGCCTTTAACATTGGTATATATTTTCAATTTTTCACTTTGCATTTGGGATTTCCAAAATGAACTTAAATATTAATATTTTTTTAAGACCAGTTATTATTCTTCAGGGAAATTTAATGCTCTACAAAAAAGGTCTCTTAACATTTTTCGATAAACTCACTCCTTTCAAAGTTATTTGATGTTAAATTTAATTTTTAAAGTATTTAACCGTTTATTTAATGTCAAATAACTTTGAAAGGAGTGAGTTTATCGAAAAATGTTAAGAGACCTTTTTTGTAGAGCATTAAATTTCCCTGAATAATAATAACTGGTCTTAAAAAAATATTAATATTTAAGTTCATTTTGGAAATCCCAAATGCAAAGTGAAAAATTGAAAATATTTACCAATGTTTAAGGCTCGATTACAAAGAATAAACTCGTCTTACGAAAATTTACCAAGAGAGCTTTTTTGTGGGGAATTTAATTTCCTACAAGGATAAGAGATGAAAATTTTTTTTAAAATTGACCAAGTCCGAAATTTATGCAAAAACGCGACAACTGTTGAAAAATCAATAACTGCAATGATGCACCTCTTAATATTATTATTATTAAGGGCTCAAACTTTCAGGAAAATGTTTTTTTAGCCCAGTCTAATGCAGATGATACCAATTTCTCATATCACTGCAATAACACATCTGACATAGTTATCAAAAACTCTAAGATTATGACTGAAGCTAAACAATGGTTTGATAGGAATTATTTTTAAATCACAATAAAACTGAAACATGTGTCTTCAGGTTAAACCAAACTACTAGTGAAACTTACATGGAACTATCAAATAAATAACTTATGCAATAAGTTGGCAAAATTCACGTTTGCTCTACATAGACTATCAAATACAGTTCATACAGAAGCAGTAATAACTACTTATTATGGCTTATTCCATTCCAATTTAACATATGGGATTCTAACTTGGGGAACTCACTACAAAGACTTTTTATCTTACAAAAATCGCTCTATTCTGCGGGTAAATTATTATGAACCATGCCGACCACTATTTAAGCAACTTAGCATAATGATCCTGTTTTCGCAAATGGTATTTGAAAACTTGCTAGCCATAAAAAATAATTTGGGAAACTTCACATGTCACTCAGACAATCATACATACGATACCAGAGGGAAAAATCAGCTAATCCAAACGAGAACTAGAATAAACAAGTCCCGAACAATAGGCATTTCATTCTATAATGCACTTCCGCCCCACATCCGTAATCTATCAGGAAAAAAGTTTAAACATCAAATTAAAAAGATATTACTGGACATGTGTCTATATATCACTAAAGATTATTTTGTAAGAACATGGCACCTAATATTTTTAATATTGTATTTTTTTATTACTATTACCAACCATGATCTTTTAAAATCCTATTTTATTTTAAATTTTATACGAGTATGCTGTATATTAATGTATGTAAAATGTGGTGTATTTTACCATTTATATGTTACTGACGACTGTGTAAACATGTTTATATATGCATTACTGAGAATAAATAAAATATTCCTATTTCTAATACTTTGACTAAAATTTTAATATTTATGAAGTTTATAGTGGAACCCTGCCTCTGTCTGTTTTAATATGATTTTAAAGCAACCTTCCCTAAGTGGATTATTTGCAACCAAAAATAACAATTATATCAAATATTCATATCATTATAGTGCTTATATAAGTGGATGAAATGAGGGTTTGTTATTATATTTTGTTAATTTTAACGATTCGTTAATTTTTATTGCGTTTTTTGAAGTTGGGTGCTTTCTTGAATGTTATGAGAAAGCACGTACATGTCGCGGAACTTTTAAGTGACCTCCACAGAAGACATTTTTTTATAAAACGCACTGCTTTTATGCACGGATAATAAATAATCAAAACACACATTGTTTAAATAAAATAAATTAATAATTAAACGGAATAGTTTAATAATTCGACTAGGTAAGTATGACAACAATATTTTTTATTTGCATAAGTATTATTTATTTTAATTCATGTTCACGTTCAAATAATAAATTTTACTTAATTTAACTATCTTTAAATTTATTTACACTGTATAATGCGCTGATTTACAATAAAATAATCCAATAACAACAATAAACAGATGATTCACAATACCTACACCTGTAAACAAGCGCACAACCGTCAACCAACAATCACCTTGGAAACAAAATAACAAAAAATGATTACATTTGGTAAGAATATAAGAATAAAGCAAATTTCGATCATATAAAATCTTAAAATATATACCCTCCCATGGGCAAACGCGCTCAAACAATTTTCGACTTATCCAAAGTCATCTATTGGCAGTATCCATTTGGGTCCAATTATACTTCCATAAGGTGATACTATTAGTAGTTCTTTATACAATTGTGGGATATTCAACAAATAATAATGCACTAAATTCCCAACAATTATTTATTATAATAACAACTAAGGGGGGTGGGTGGCTCAGTGGTAGAGTCTCTGCCTGTGGATCCAAGGGTCCTAGGTTCGTTTCCCACCGTTGGCCAGGATTTTTTTTATTTAATTTAATTATTTAAAATTAATTCTGATGCCTTGGTAGGATTCCCCACTCGACCATTCACTGTTGGGTTCTAATTAACAGTGCTGTTCCTAAAATGGCGCTGGGAAACAGTAACAAAGCCTACACAGAACACGAGGCTAATAACCTTAGCAGTTGATGCCGATGACACCAAATTAAAAAAAAAAACTAACTCGATTTAAAGTAGAAACGAAACTGAAGTGGGACAAGCAAGCATTTAAAAATATAAAATGTGTTTTCCAAAAAAACAATGCAAAAAAGTATTCTAAGAACACCTCGATACATTTCACTAACACAGCGGCGTAGCGATAATTTATTCCAATATATCACAACAATGATTTTACTTTGACGATATATGGGAATTCCGACATATTGCTAAATTTTCGATTTTATTTTTCTTTCAGGTAAACAAACTCTCCGGAGTAAAGGTCATAAGCCTTGCTATGGGTCTCTGTTTCACAATTTTGGTAGCCGCCAACGAAACTCCTGAGCAAAAGCAAAAACTGGAAAACCTCAAAGAATATATACCCTAGGTGGGAGCATTCTCCACTAAGACACTTAGTTTTTAAGCTATTCCATGTATTTGTGTCACTAAAATATGATCGTTATAGGATTGACAGCTTCACACACACTTTTAACCTGTAATTTGAAGTGAGAAAAAAAATTAAATGTGATAGGAGATTAATAGTTCTTGTGTCGGTTGTCATATTTCGGGTCAAACAAAAGTCAATTTACTGGTACTAATATTTATTGAATCAGACTTGCTATTTGTAACCAAAAAAGTTGTATTTTTATATTTTTTCCGACGTTGATTATTTTAGAATGTTGTTGAGTGTACAGTTTTTTAAGAGTTGATTGTTGATTAAAAGTGTCTTAATATTTTTTAACCCTATTTGAGGTAAGAGAATCAAGGCTGAGTTTTTTCTCACTTCGATTCAACGTCATAATGTTGCCGAGCTGTCAAATTTGAAGTAAAATGAGATTTTCAGAATGTATCTGAAGATTTTTATTTAGAAGTAAAACTTGGTGGCGAATCTTTTTGCGTAATAATCGATATGTTGTTGGTAGATTTGGGTTTTTCGGCAAAAACTTGACTCTAATATTTGTATATATAAAATGCAGATCTGGAGCTGGTTGAAACCTCTGTTAGAATTTTATTGAAATTTTTCATTTTAAATATTAAGGTTATTTTTTTGTGTGGAATACATGTCTACCTCGTATACGAACATATAATTTATTTTTTGTATCATACGTATTTTTTTTTTTTTTTTCTAATATATACATTTACATTGAAATTTATATTATTTAGAGTGATCCACAAAAAAATGTTTCTAACGTAGACCTTGGAAAAATTCACGCATATCTGAGCATAAAATTCTTCTCTTTAAGTGTCAGTTTGGATTTAATTCAGAGCCGTGCGTAGTTATCATGGACATGACTCGTGTCTCTGTCGGTCATGGCCTACTTTAGAAACATTTTTTGTGAATAATTCATTTAGTAATTGATTGTGGTGGATAGTTTTTAAAATTTAATTTTTTATACAATTTCGAATGATCAACCTATTTAGTATTATTTTTCTTATCATTCATCGATCACGCCTTTTAAGTGTAAACCGACATAAAATGAAAGTTGTTTTAAAGGGTAATTGCCTCAATTATTTCTAAGCATCAAATTTATGATGTATACTAGACGTATTTTTTTGTATTTGTTTAACTGTACCTACTTGAAAATAAACATTTTACAATATTTTGTGTTTTTCATTTAAAGCAATTTCAGAGTTGCAACAAGAAATGTATTATAACTCGTACAGAAAAAGCATCGTAATGGATGTACAGTTACCTTATCCACACACAAAAACTGAAAATAAATAACATGACAAGTGAAACTGAAAATTGTTTTGGTGTACCTCACGGAAGCGTGTTGGGTCCTTTACTCTTTTTACTTTATATTGATATAGAACAATTATTCAAATATTGCTCAATCCATTAATTTACAAATGATGCACTGATCTATTTATTTCCAATAACTTTAATTATAATCGTGTAAATGAATATAAACGCAGTATACGTGAAAAGAAGGTGACTAGGACTATTATTTCTTTATTTTAATAGTAATTTCTGGTTGAAAATGATACACACAGATTGTCTGTCTGAAAAACGTCAATTTTTTTTTATATAGTTACATAAAACCATACACTTAAGAACTTAATCTCTAACATTTATCCCCCTAAGTAATTGTTCTTCAGTTTCATTACTTCCTAACATCAAGGACAATGAGTTTAGATACTGGCAGCTTATAAACTGTTCCTGCTTGATTTCGTACATCAACTATTCTTATTCTGCCGTCTTTAGCAGTATACAGTTTGATAACTAACCCCTTTTGCTAGGAATTTCTCGGTCCACTGGGATCCACCATAATGACTACGTCACCAAGATGAATTGGTTTACCCCACATCCCCAACTAGCCATTCATAAAAGTGTATTTGTTTTGAAATTCTCATCATCTATTGTATAGTCCAGGAGACAGTGACGATTTTCGGTATTTATTTTCCCAGTCAGCAAGCACGAATAGAGAATTGTAGGATTAGCAATTCTAAGCAAAATTCATATATATATTTAGAGGGGGGATCCGATGGGCTGAGGCCGAAAATGCGTCAAAACATACGAGAACACGGCCCTTTTTTTCCATTGATAAAAATAGTTTTAGTAGTAAGAGATGTACTGAAGTTAAGTAAAAAAATAGTCTGATTAATCTGTATGGATAATATATTTGGCAAGTGCATAAAATACACTTTCAAACGAGTTATGTACACAATTATTTCTACGACCACAATTATTTAAAGAATGTTCCAGGTGTTATGTATATTAAAGTGTACGCATAGGACACATAAATAAAATCTTATATCACAATGTTTCACCTAACCAGTTGGTTTATTTATAGAAATTGAAGATATTACAGAAGAAAATAGGGAAATAAATTACATTTCCTTTTACACTTTTATATAATAATTGTTTTATTTAGACTTCACGAATCACTTATTACTCTACATTAATTATTGTTAGTTCGTTATGTCAAATCATTTATACTAGAGGTGTGAGGAAAATACATTGAACTGTGGAACGCCAATATCGTTGGATGCGCGTGGTTTGAAATGGTCCTATAATACTGCTAAAAACATAGCTAAATTATCATGGAAACACTGTACTTTTGACATTTGCGATACTCCGACGCATATGCATTATTGATGTAATCTCATGATTTTACAGTAAATAGTTTTTGCAATTTTAGTGTGAGTTTTAGGTTATTATGGTTATTCATTTTATTTGGTTCTGATCTTTTGCGCTTTTAGAGTATTTGTCTTTTATATAGTTTTTAATTTGAATTTTAATATTGTGGTCTATTTATATTTGATTGCTGCTTTGCGACTAGTGCTTTATTCTTTTTGTGTTAAAATAAGCTTTATAACCATTAAGTACATGCTTCTATTTGATATCTACCTAATCGTCATCGGGTGCTTGCAACAATGGGAAAAAGTGTATGGTTTTTTTGGTGTAAAGTTAGACGCCTTCATTTTTCAGGTAAGTTATTTGTAGTTATTTTTTACTTAAAAGGATAGCAATACGTCCTGGTTCGGGGTGACTTTTGGGTTTTAACAATCTGAGCCAAATTGTCGGCTAAGTGTCCTCTTTTAGGGCACCCAGAACCGAAAACTATATAGGTATATAATATGTTTTTTTTTTTAAATTATTTTTTAATATGTATGCAGCTTGGATGAGGGCTTTAGGAAGAGATCCTAAGACTGAACACTGACTGCTATAAATGCCGTTTTTAGAGCACATTTCATAGTAAGTGATTTCATTCTAGCAGCAATGAGGAAACGTTTAAAAAACATGCTGTACCAGCTATTACTTTAAGACCTCGTCTCTTTGAGATATTATTACTTCATTCTAATGCATATATTAAAATGGTTTTTAACTTATGTCCTTATGATTAAAAGATGTAGGTATTTTAGTTATGTTATAATAGAAATATATGATACTTTGTATTGACTGACCTACTGGCCACTGGTCATTCCACTTTTACTCCCTTTTTTCATAAATTATCAAATTATTTAAAAACAAATACATACCTAGCTATTTTCTGTAAATTACATTAAAATTTTAGTATTAATACTTTACTAATAAAACTTTAGTTAATTTATCTTATATATATATGCAGGCCTATTTTGCCCATTTCATGTATTTGTTTTTAAATCATGTTAAATTACTATTTTTGAAACTCAACAAGGAGAAAATCCAATTAACTCTTCCGTTGTGTATATATATATATATATATATATATATATATAGATTCGTCCTGCCGACGTTGTGACATCATGTCGCAAAAATGTTGCTATCTTTATAACATCCGTCTGCGATGTGACATCCATATTCGGATGTCACAACGTTTTTGGGGTTCAAACATCATAAAGTAGGTTTAAAAGGGCGCCAAAAAAATTTCAGCTGGATGTCATAATGCTTAATTTTCAATTTTATGTATATATTTAGTTCCAGTGTATAGATGCGAAGGTGGCGCTCGCGTCAGTTGGTTTTGTATATTTTGTATATTAAATATTTCAGTCCCTCGACTGTATAACATCCACCATTAAGTATATTAGAATTTACTCACTCGACTGTCTGACATCCAACATTCAGTATATTAAAACTTACTCACCCGACTATCTGACATCCACCATAGAGTATATTAGAACTTTACAAACTAGGTTATGTGACATCCAAAAAATTTATTTTAGATATATTTGGATTTTCATTTTAAGATCTATTTTATGTTAACACATAAGCTGCCAAAATTTTTTCTTGGGTTTCGCATGAAGCCAACAAGTTTCTTAAATGCATTCACTCTCTGTGACTATTTAATAAATATATATTATATGCATCTATATTGATACAAGGCGTATCAACAATGGGTGAGTGAACGATGACTAATTTATATTAAAAGAAATCACACGAAATTAAATTAAAATATATTAAAATAAAATAAAATAAATTAAAATAAATTAAAGTAAATTAAAATAAATTAAAATAAATTAAAATAAATTAAAATAAATTAAAATAAATTAAAATAAATTAAAATAAATTAAAATAAATTAAAATAAATTAAAATAAATTAAAATAAATTAAAATAAATTAAAATAAATTAAAATAAATTAAAATAAATTAAAATAAATTAAAATAAATTAAATTAAAATAAATTAAAATAAATTAAAATAAATTAAAATAAATTAAAATAAATTAAAATATATTAAAATAAAATAAATTAAAATAAATTAAAATAAATTAAAATAAATTAAAATAAATTAAAATAAATTAAAATAAATTAAAATAAATTAAAATAAATTAAAATAAATTAAAATAAATTAAAATAAATTAAAATAAATTAAAATAAATTTAAATAAATTTAAATAAATTTAAATAAATTTAAATAAATTTAAATAAATTTAAATAAATTTAAATAAATTTAAATAAATTTAAATAAATTTAAATAAATTTAAATAAATTTAACATGTTGAGTACGGTGTGGCATTTAACGGATGCCTCACTGCTTGTCCTTTTTGAGACGGCGAGACATCAATATGGTGCCACACTTGCAACAGTCAGAAAATTAGCAAGGATGGCGTGGTTTTATAATACGTCTCACTATAATGCTACAGACATAAGAACTCACTTTTAGCCATATATAGTATTAGAAAAGTTTCACTGGCCTTGAAAGTAAGAGACAAATTCTGTGGGGAGGCATCAATGTATATCCAGAAAAAAAATGAAATATTTGACAAATACTTAAAAAAAATAATTGTAATATAAAATATAAAAAATAGACTTCATCCAAAGTAATATGAGGGTCAAAAAATTTCCCATCCTTTAATATGACTCTTTTTTATTCACGTGTTAAATAAATTTATTTAAAGTTATTTAAATTTAAATCAATTTAAATCAATTTAAATCATTTTAAATCAATTTAAATCAATTTAAATCAATTTAAATCAATTTAAATCAATTTAAATCAATTTAAATCAATTTAAATCAATTTAAATCAATTTAAATCAATTTAAATCAATTTAAATCAATTTAAATCAATTTAAATCAATTTAAATCAATTTAAATCAATTTAAATCAATTTAAATCAACTGAAATCAATGTAAATCAATGTAAATCAATGTAAATCAATGTAAATCAATGTAAATCAATGTAAATCAATGTAAATCAATGTAAATCAATGTAAATCAATGTAAATCAA